GGTCTCTGCACACGTTTAAAGAAACAGGATGACCCGGCCACAGCGCGTTTCCTCACAAGCACCGGAGTTTATTCCACCCTCTCTGTACAGACTTGTGTCAACACTGGATCTCTGCTGTTACTCATATGCGCCTCACCCCGTTACTAACAGGACGAAGATCTGTCAGCCAATCACAATCTGGACTGATAAGGTGCTCGATCTGATTTGAAATGTTCAATGTTCATATTGCAGTTGTTATGAAGCATTAATCATTTACTCCTGAGTGAGAGATCAGTCGTTACTCTTTAGTGGACAAAAATAAAACCATAAACTGACACAAGCTTCAATTCTGCACCAAATCTTTTGATTTACGCTCTCCAGTAACAATATTAAGTTTCACACTGGGTCAAATCCTGGATTTTATTTGTTCGCTACACAAAAATATTAACATCAGAAGTTTCCTCTGAGCTCGAAACTGATTAATATTGGGCAGGATCACAACAATAAGGGCGGTAATCTTTAAATTATAATGAAACATAATGAGGTTCCTGCAGTGTGCGGGGCTGGGTTGAGCTGTTTGGCTCTGCTTTGCCTCGGCCGAAGCAGAAAGTGTTAAACAGCTGAATGAGATCAGACCGAGCGGCCCTCTGAGGGCTCAACTGCTGTTGTGAAAGAGGGCGGCGGCTGCAGAAGTCTGCCTGATCCCAAACCAGGAAAACAATTCCTCCTGCTTTAACAGGCGAATTAAAGAGAAAAGATGAACACGAGCCGAGACTCAGAACGTGTCAACCAGCTTTTATGTGTTTTTACTCAGAGGGTCCAAACTGCTTCAGCTCAGTCCAGAGATCCTCTGAAAACCCACTTCATGCGATTGTCCAGCCTCCTTCACCCAGTTCATGTGAGCTGCTTGTGCATGGTGGGTGTACCTGAAGCAGATGAGCACTTAAAGGCTCTGCTGTCGGCTCCACCTGTGCTTTTGCATTCTCAGTTTAACCTGAGCTCAAATCTGCATCAGCGTTTGGTCCAAAGTAGAAGCTGAATGCAACACTGCCTCCCAGAGGCCAAATGCACCAACTACAGCTTTATTCAGGCGGATTTACAGCTTGTAATTTCCTTACATCCATTTGATTTTGCAGGAACTGCTGTATACTGTGTGCAGAAAAACAATAGACATAAAACTAACTGTACAATATGATATCAGCTTGAAAACGAACAACGCCAACGCAGTGTGGGAAAGCCCCGCTCTGAGGGCATAAAGCCGCTGCAGACGGGGCGTGGACGAGCAAAGTCAAATGCAGGCCAAAGCCTGGCTGCAGCAGCAGAGGTCAGTGCAGAAGCACCAAAGCTCTGCTGGCTCCAAAAAAGAGTCAGTCAAGGTTAAAACGTCAACTTTAGAGCTGAAACAAAACAGTTTTAGTCTCTGTGGCTGATTTCCTCCTTCATCACAGATGTACAGGACTGAATAAAAAGAAATAAGAACTTATTTATTGGGTGAATTGACTTGTTGAGGCTCTAAGTTAGGGGCGTGGCTTCTTTGGCTGACAGGAGTCTCCACACAGCCGTTTGTTCGGCTTCACTGGACTTGTGGGCCGTTTGGAGCATCTCTAATGTGGTTATCTGACCAATAACACGGCTGCTGTGTGGTTAGGTGTAACAACAGACTGATGGATGAAATCTCAGCAGTCAGCACTTACCTGCGCTCATGTTTTGCACCTGTACAGTTTATGAAAGCAGCTGCTGAACCGAGCTCGCTACATTTAGCTGATAACTCAGCGCTCTATGGTCAGGTCTGTCCCCAGAACCCCAAAGGCAAACATCAGTACTCAACAGGAAGAGCCAAAACCCAATGCCATCTTTTATGTACAGTCTGTTTAAAACTACACCAAATGGGGACGGTTTGCTGATATCATCCAACCACATCTATTTCATTCAAATTGAGCCAGGAAAGAAAAGTTTGACTAGAATTTCAGAGCTTCAGCTTCCAGTAACTGCTGTCCTTTATCTGCACGCAGCTGGTTTCATTTTCAGGTGTCGGCCTCGTTATTTCACGTTTCACTGCTGCTTTCATTAAAGCTTATTTATAGTAAATAATCAGACACACTGACGGAACATTAATTAGCCTTTAAGGTATTATAATTCTAACCTGGGCTATTCTCATAAATATCACTTTTACTGTACTTTCAGAGAAATAAACTCTACGCATCCAAACACCGGGCAGAGGAGGGAATCTGCGCCTCTCGCACCTTTTATGGAAAACTGGAAGTAAATCGTTGTTCCCGTTTGATTTGATCCGTTTCCTTCATCTCTGTCTCACACATCCTCATAAACTTGATCATTTCTCTCTGCAGCAGCTTCATCGCGCAGCTCCGGGCGCCCGATCGCGCCCAGCAGTCCTGCGCTCTCAGCCGATCGCTGTGATCGACCAGCCGGGGAGTTCGATTATCTTACCTTCGTCTCCATCTCAGAAGTTCGGTCCCAAAAATGAGTAAAAAAACAAGAAGCACAACTAATAACTGAAAAACCACCGAAAGCGAGGAGCACCGAGCGGAGAGTGCCGGAGGATTCACACGTTTCCTGCTGAGAGTCACACAAAGTCCTCCCACTCACCACGCACACAGTGATACACACCGAATACACGCGCGAATACACACCCACTGAACACACACACGAACGTTGCTCCGCTGCTTTCAGACCCTCTAAACTTTGTGTAACCTCTTTGTTTGTCAGCGCTGAGCTCTTATCAGCCCCGCCCACGCGCGCGCGCGCACACACACACAGGGACGTGACCAGTCCAAACTGACAACTAACAGCAGCGTAAGATGAGCTTCCTGGAACAACCTGTTCAGGTTTGTTCTCAGATTCTTATAATTGTTAATCAGTGGAGACACGTCACAGGTGAGTCTCCGAGGGCCTGAATACGTCATTCTTACGTTTAGAGTAAAAGTTCTCTGACGGTGTTTCTGGGACAGGGGAGACAAACAAGCGGCTCGGGGTCCAGAGCCAGCCCGCCAGAGCGTCCGGTCCGGCCCTGGACGTTTTGCAAAGTGTGGAAGTTGCAGTGACGTCAGCGACGTTGTTTGGCCACATGACTGTGAATGCTACACGAGACAAGATGCTGATTGGACCATTCAAACGTAACGTATGGAGCTTTCATGCCTTTCCACTGTGACGTGTTTGTGAGAGTCCACTCATCTCTGAGATTTCTCTGCGGTTTTTACAAAGATGACACATTAAATGATCAAAACTATTTGACAAAATACTTTCGGTTACCTGTGCTCAGGTGAACATCTTCAGATTGTTTAGCTAAAGATAACATGGAGGGTGCGTCTTATTTCCCGTTTTAAACGTGGTCCGTGAACTCGACTGAATTCTGTTAGAGCTGACAAATTAAAGGAAAAACGAACAAAGTTTGTTAATGTCACATATGGACGCCTTAACACCGACTCTCCATGTCTCTGAGTGGGTGGATGAACACCTTTCTTCCAGAAGATAAGGCGGAGTGCAGGTTTACACGCTGGCGTCTGTGAAGGGCATTTCAACTCTCATCATACCTTTTAATGAAGGTGCTGACATCCTGGAAAAGACGCAGATTCCCAGATGCTTTTAGCAAAAGCGCTAAAATATAAATAAACTTTATTCTGATCACTTTTGGATAAAACCAATAATTAACTTTATTTATTGGAAAGCACACAGCGAGCACAGTCCTGCTGTAAGAGATGATCTGAAGTCTCTGCTGTCTGAAACCATAAATCAAAAAAAGAAGACGCGTAACGATCGTGGCAGCAAGAAGGAAGTATCAGTAAATGTGGTCAGGCCTCGACAGGTGAGGCTGGCGGTTACTTCCTCCTGCAGAGCAAAGAACATTTCTATCAGTCGTAGATTTCAGAGTGACTCCGTGTGCTCAGCACGCCGCACACTACACACAAACACACAAACACACAACAATCATAATGTTATCTGATGCTTATGTTTTTACTTTCACACCAATCAAAGCTTTTTTTATTAGAAACTTTTCACTTCTCTGTTGGTTCCTGTTGTTCCTTTGTGTCGTTTTAAGTCTGTGTGGTCTGTTTGGTCTCTTTTAGCTCTTTATTCGCTTTTTTCTGAGGTTTCGTTTCTCCGCTGTCACTGAAACACTTTCATGTTCTGTGCTTTACCAGATCAGAGGATCAGTGCAGCGTTGAGACTAACGTGGAGCATCACCTACGGCCGTCGAAGGATCGAGCAGCAGATAATCCTTCATCTGTAAGGTGACTGAGCTCAACGAGGCGAGGAGCTCAGAGTGATGTCAGCTGATGTCAGGTAATCTCACCTTGGAGGTTTTCAGCGTTTGTCCTACTGCAGGGACGTCGACCTCATTTTACACAGTGGGCCAAATATTTGGATGTTAACTGAGCCGGATCAGAGAAATTCTGTCAGTTTGAAGAAATTAAACTAAACCCTCAGATTTCTCATTATAAGAAAAATAAATATACTCCAACAGTTCAGTTTACATGATAAAGAAATCTGTCAGCACGACTTTTTCAACTTAAACTGTAAGAAATTACAGGACAAGCTCAGGTAAATCTTTGCTCAGACTGTCTTGTAATAATAAACAAAATAGATAATTATATAAAATTATAAGAAAAAAGTTTTTCTAATTCACAGAATTTTAAAATGTGGCTTTACAGTAAAAACAAAAACACAAGAAAGTTGTAAAACTTTTAAAAAATCCAAAATTTATCGCCTGCTCCACATTTTCCAAACCCAACAGGAGTCTTTGCCCGGCCCATTCTGGCCCTCGGGCCTTATGTTTGACACACCTGCCCTACTGGGATGAGCCCTTTAGATCTCGGACGTTCTCCTGTGTCCCGCCTTTTTGTGGCGGTCTCAGGATGTGGGTCCACGAACCGTCTGTTTTCTCTATGATCAGTTTATCTGGAGCACATCTGGATTCTCCGCCTCAGTGAGATGAGACTCGGACTTCAGAATTTAGCCTGTTTTTGTCCCTCTGTGGAAAAAGTCGATAAGTGGAGCTAAAGTTTTGTTATCGGGTATTTCATGTGTAAATTTGCTTTATTATAACATCTGGCTGAGCTTCATGGTCCGGGAGCCCAGAGAGAAGCCGATGGTTGTGGAGGGTCCTGGAGGTTGTGAGCACGGTCGGGTCGGTGAATGACGACTGAGGCGAGGGACTCGTGCTCTGAGAGAGCCGAGTTAAAGGAGTGGTCGCTGTCGGACTCGCCTGACCCGGGTTTGTCCTGGTACATCAGGTCTGCTTCACTGGCCAGAGGAGAAAACAGATGTTCAAGACTTTTAAACTTCGAGCAGGTCACATTTAAAAATATCTACATGTGGATGCATGCATACATGCGATCGTTTACCATCAGCTTCTATCAATGCCCCCCTCAGATGTGTCCTACCTGAGTTCAGAGTCCAGGTAAGCACTGTCGTCACTGCTGGGGCGCTCTCCTCGTTCTGCTTCCCTTCCTGAGCGGCCGCTCGGACTTTGCTGCCTCGCTGTGGGGATCCTCCTCTTTATGGGCCGCTCATCATCGGTGGAGTCTCTGAGAGAACCAGACAGAGAGCATCGACCAGTGTGACCCTCAAACTGTGGGCCAAGCCCCTCCTGGAGGACACAGAGCTGCAAGATGGAGGGGAACTTTTCCCCAGATTGTGAATCCAGGGCAGGAAAGAACATGTTTGACTGATTTAGAGGAAGCACTTCTGTGCTGAAACATCTGGATCGCTCATCTGCTCCTTCACTACATTTAATTTGGAAAATAATGTTAAGAATCAAATATTTGTAGATGGGCCCCGAGCACAAGTGCACAGAATTTAAATCTTTAACGTGACTCTTGACAAAGTAAGTAAGGAGAACCGGTGCCGTCCTCAGCTGCTCCAACAGCTTTTGGAAACATTTACACTGAAAGAAATTCAGAAACGCTGAAGAGTAGCAGATCATAGCTGCACGCCAGGTAACAGCGATCAGTCTACGGGGAGGCGTGTGCAGCAGAGACTGACAAATGTAGCTAATCAAGAACCGCAGTTCCTCTGATGGCCACTTGAGGCAGGCTGCAGCGGTAAGTCAGCCTGTGTGGGGGCGTGGCCTCAGCTGTTTGTTTTTAAACAGTGACAGCAGGCATCTCCATGGAAACCGTTGTAATTCTGCCTCGTTACA